AAGGAGCACGTGACCATGTTTCCAGGGTAGTTAGAAGAGCTAAATTATGAGAAAGAATGCTCAGGTTCTGTGTGGGACTAGGAGAGAAACATGTTTCACTTTATATTATACCCTGATTTTTTTAAATGAGTAAAACTGTGCTTTTTTGTAGTGACAAGTCTTATCGAAAGACAGAGTGGTTTCCGGATACATCTTTCTTGGAGCAATAATTACCACTTTACCTTTAACAGGCCACATCGTTTGTGTATCCCACCTCGCACAGAGCATGGGTATTTGTTTTTTGCACATGCTCCTTATGATGGTGAGGAAAAATTTCCTTAAAAGTTCAAAATCAAAACAAAATGATGGATCTCTTCTTCAGATTTAGAGAAGAGGAAGTAGTGATGTGTTTTACAAAACAAGGCATACCCTGCAATGTTCATTGCTTAATATTTCTCTGTGAAGCTTCCTATTTTGGCTTTACAGTATCTTTTAACCCTGAGATGAAGTTTAAATAATATAGGGTTCGATGTTCCTCTGTAATAGGACTAAAGCTTTCTTTACCTTTCTTTCTCCTTCACTGGCCTTTTGCTTTTCCATGTCAAAGCTCAGTACATGTACTCTTCCTTTTAGAAAGCCCCATAAAACCATATCCTCTCTTCTTCAGACTCCTACAGCACAGATGGTTCTGCCTTTGCTCAGGCTCTCATCAGCTAACCTTCCTGTCAGGGCTACTTCACTGTAGAACTTGCTATGCAAATGGTACCCATTGGAAATGTGCAGAACACAGCAACCCTACTTCTCTGGTCCAGGCTTTTATAGTACCTGTTTAAGATAGATAGATAAATATATCTATGCAATTCTTTTATTAATTTCTGCCTTGCCCACCAGTCTGTGAGCCCCCTTGAGGTTAGGGGCCTTGTCTGGTTTTGCTCACCACAGAATCTCCTACCCTTAGTACAGTGGCTGGGGCATATCCTCTAAATTGTCTCCTTGCCTCCAAATTCACATCCTCTCCAAACCATTCTTCTCACTATCACCAACATCCTTAAAAACTCAGAGAACTTCTTTCAACAAAAGAAATAAAAAAAGTAATTGCTTTAAATACCTATAGATTAAAATCTAAATTCCAGGCTACAAGATGCTTTAATCCTTGTCTACCTTTCTGAGAGCATTGCTTTTTATTTAGGCTTATTTTACATTACTTTGTCTGATACAGAGCTTGTTATTTCCTGACCTTGTTTCCTCTTTAGATTGCAAATAGCTTGCATCTTTGTAAAGACTTGGTCCTCATAAAATTCAGTTAGTAGTTATTTAATTGACTTATTATGGAGCTATGTCTAGAATTACTGTACTTGATAGCTATGTAGTTCTTTCTACATGAATTTAAGGTGTTTTATAAATATTATTTTTTTAATATTGTTGTGGACTGAGAATATATTTTATTCCATTGTTTCATTTACAACTGTCAATCATATTGCCTGCAGTATGGTAATATTAATACAATAGGTTTTGCAATCCTATATTAATGAAACCCTGAATATTTGTTTTATCTATTAAACTTTGCTATCTACTTAAGCCTTTCCATTCTATTATTTAATTAGATTAATTAGTGTTTTAGGTTTTAATCTGCATGATACTTATATATTTGCCTCTATCGTATTTTTTTTTTACTTTCCTATTTACTCTCTTTCTTTTCTAAGGGTTAAAATTTGTCTGATAATATCTATCAAAACTCTATCATGGTGTCTTTTAGTTGCTTCCCTATGTAAAATAAAAGTTTTATTGCTTTAAAATGTTTAGAATATTTTCATAATAAAAGAAAATTAAAACTCAGTAGAATGAGAATTTGTACAAATTTGACAAATACCTGTCTTTTGTTGCCTCAGTAAGTTGTATCATATTCAAGGTGCAGTGCTCTAAGAAAGTTGACGTAAGTTTTCAAAGTTAATGCCATTTTGATTACAAAGATTCCAGGAGCTTTCTAAAAATATTTTTAAATAAATAGGTGTACTATACTTTGCAAAACTGTAATAGCAAACACTGAAAACATTCCATATGTTTATAAATTGGGGGTTGTTTGAATAACTTGTGGTGATGCAAAGAAGTAATATGCAGTTGTGGAATAGAATGAGGATTATCTTTGTATATTATTATGGAGTTCTTCAGGATATATTATCATGTTTACATACCTAGGTTTTGCTTCAAAATAATTAGAAGAGTGGAGAGGAAAAGTAGAAGGGTTTAGATAAAACAGAATTGCTTATGAATTGGTATTTGTTGAAGTTGGCTGATGAGTACTTGAGGATTCATTGTACTATTCTGCAGCTTTTGTTTATATTTGAAATATTAAAGAAAAAGTTAAAAGCAACAGGTATGGTCTAACATTGTGAAGGAAACATTTTCCTGGGATAGTCATTACCATTGGACAACATGAAATGACTGAATATACAAATTTTATCATATAAAATACAAACAAATCTAGATATATAACCAAACCATTTTCCTCTCCCTGAAGATTTAAACAATAAACTGTGATTACTTACTAAATGTAAAGTGTTGTGATGCCTTAATAATAATAGGTCCTTTTTTCTTTTTGTTACCCTAGGATATTTTCCCATTGATTTTTAGATAGAGTGGAAAGGAGGGAGAGGAGGGAAGGGGGTGAAGAGAGAGATCAATTAGTTGCCTCTCGAAACCTGACTGGGGCTGGGGATCAAACCTGCAACCCAGGTACGTGCCCTTGACCAGGAATCGAACCTGAGACCCTTTGGTCTGTAGGCCAATGCACTAACCACTGAACAAAACAGGCCAAGGCAATAATAGGTTATTTTTTAAAACTGCATTATGGCTCAGCCAGTGTGGCTCAGTGGTTGAGCACTGACCCATGCACCAAGAGGTCGCCAGTTCGATTCCCAGTCAGAGCACATGCCCGTGTTTTGGGCCTGATCCCCAGTGGAGGGCATGCAGGAGGTGGCAAATTGATGTTCTCTCTCATGGATATTTCTCTGTCTCTCTCTCCCTCTCCCTTCCTCTCTCTCTCTAAAAATCAATAAAGAAAAAAAATTGGGGGAAAAAAACTGCATTATGGCATTGAAAAATATGTGTATGTTAAAGGAGAGAAAGTCCAAACAATATCAATACCTATTCATATCACATTAAGACAACCTGATATTTAGTGCCTCCTGATAGATGTACACGCTGCCACCTATGATGTATTTTTGTCATGGGAAGAGGAAAACAAGAGCATGTGTAATTTAGAGCTATGGAAGAAAATAAGAAATAGAGAGTGGAAGCTAGCAGTCCAGAGGCATTATCACATTTAACCTGCATATATCAGTGATTTTCAACCAGTGTGCCACAAGAATTTTCAAAACATGCAATATCTGACTATTTAGTGAGGGGCACTGACCTCTTTTCCCTTAGATTGTCAACTAAAAAAATAACAGCCAACACAACAATTGCTGTCCAGTGTGAATGAGTCAAAATTATACCTTTTTTGTGTGTGTTAGATTGGCAAAAATGGTGTGCCACAGAAATTTAGTAATTACTTTATATGTGCCATAAGATGAAAAAGGTTGAAAATCACTGGCATATATTCTTTATGAAGCAGAAAAACTAGTTACTGTTACTGCCCTTTTAGAGCGGAAGAAAGAACTTAATGAATAAATGACTGCCTGTGGCCACTTGACTAATAAATTCAGGAACTAGAGCCTACCTGACTTTCTGGACTCATATTTTAGAATATGCTTTCCATATTACAAGAAGGGGATCCCTATGATCAAGGAGCAGCTAACCTGATAAGATAGACACGAGAAATGATACACATTCAATTGAAGATATGGACCTTAAAATTGTGACAGTTGGTTATATATATGGTGACAAATGGAGACTAGACTTTGGGTGGTGAGCACTCAATGCAATTTACAGATGTTATGTTGTAGGATTGTACACTTGAAACTTTCATAATGTTATTAACCAATGTCAGACCAATAAATTTAATTTCTTAAAAGAAAAAATTATGAAAGTTGGCATTATCTCCTTTATCTAGAGAAGAGTGCAGGTATACTCTTCTGTTGCATGTAAATTCATTATATTTCAGAGATGAAAAGAGCAAATGATTAAATTGACATTCTCTTGTGCAATGGAGGCCTCTCACCAGCTCTCTAGGAAGGGCAGCCATCCCAATGCCACCAAAGTGGGCCAATGAAGACCTTGCCAACCAAGACAGAGGTCCTGTTAGAAGTTGCTCTGGGTCCACTTGAATACATGAGCAAATCAATGTCTTCATAGGTGTGTGACCTGTGCAGTCATGCATGGACCTGCTCTCAGAAGGGTCTTGCATTTAGTTTAATGCTCTGGTGTCACTATCTTGATATTTTAATAATTTTATTTTTGCACTATGCTCTGTAAGTGAAGTCTGATAGGACAATTGAGCATACACATGAGCTGCAGAGACTGGCCAGCTGGCAGTGCACACAAGCATAGGCCCGAGCTGTGGCCACAGCAGGCAGTGTGGGTGTTGACACTTAGCCTGGTGGCCTGCAGAGCAGGTGCATGTCTCAGGCAGTATGGGGCACCTGGGGTGTTGGTTTTATTTTCCAAAAATAATTTAAATACACTTGGTGTTGCATTTTGAGGATGAAGATTTATTTATTTACCCAAACTATGAACAGTAATTGAGTGCCTACTACCGTGCTCAGTAAACAAAATTAGGTTTCTGCCCTCATGGAGCTTGCATTCTAGAATATATGTATGTTTTTCCAATTGATGCAACAATAATCTACTTTTTAAATTAAAAGTGATTTAAGTGGAACAATAAAGAGTGACTTTATAACCAAGCAGGCTTTTATAATGACATGATCATAGGTAACTTTCCTGACCTAGATAGTTCCATTGGGGAGTAGCTCAAACCAGTTGAGTTTTGCTTGCTTTTATTATTTTCCATTAATTTTACTTTATAAGTGAAGACATCCCTAAATAGCTGAATATGGAATGATTTTATTGTAGAATTGTGAAAAATGGAAGACAGTACCAGAGACACAGAAAAGGCAGAGAAAAAGAAAAAGGATCAAGAAGATCCCGTTGATGCCATAGCACCTGCAATTAACATCCAAGATGAGCAGTTTGCTGGTTTATCTACAACTCCAGCTTTCAATTGTCTGCATGAGGTATATTATTCCTCTTCATATATTACTACAGTAAGACCTGAATCATCTACCTAAAAATTCAGATGAAGTTAATATCATTATCAAAATAATATATTACATTTAACCTGTAGGAAATGTGTACAAGAGCTTTTCATGTAATGGACTAATGCAGTAGTGTAGGTTCTGATACTTTTATAGCATGATAAATATTTATATATACAATCAGTTAAGTAGATTTCATAGTTTGGTAAATGAAGTAAATGATATTTGTTTCATTATTTATATACTATATTTACTTCCATAAAACGAAGATAAAAGACCTTGTCATACAATGCTACAAAGAATACATGTATACCTAATTAAGTGTAATTATATGGACAGAGCACTGCACTGTTTTCTTCAGCAGAGGAGCAAAAAGAGGAATAGTATATATAGTCTCATTGTCTAATTAAAAAAAAATAAAGGATGAACATTTAGGAAATACTCATATAGGAGAATTTTTAAAAAGATATTAATTGACCATATATGCAACTGTTACTATGTTATGCCTGAGATCTACTTTAGAATATGGTTTATTTCTGGACTATTAACTTTATGTAAATATAACTGAATAAGACATGTAAGAAATTAAACAGTCATAATAAAAATAAGCTATACAGCCTTAAAGCAAAAACAGAGTTTATTCAAAACCAAGAATGAAAACTAAATCTGCCACCCCAAATATTTAGTTTATGTAAATACTTTAAACAATTACCACAATGACTGTTGAGTGTGTATGTATATGTGTATATATATATATATATATATATACACACACACACATATATAATACATTATATAATTTATGTAATGTAATCTATAATATACATAATATCAGGAGAACATGATGTCAACTTGTCCCATTACTAGTGGTGTTAACTTAGATCACTTGTTTAAGGTGATGGCTTCTAGATTTCTCCTCTATAAAGTTATTATTTTTCTGGTTGAAATTAATAAGCACCTATGGGGAGACACTCTGAGAATACTTATGTATCCTACTCCTCCTAAAATTTTTACCTATTAGTTTTATACTTCTTGATGATTCTTGCCCAAATCAATTATTATTATTACGGTTACCAAATGGTTATTTTCTAATTCCATCATTGCTTCTACATTTATTAGCTAGCCTCCTATTGCAAGGAAGTACTTTGTCTTCTTATCTATCTGTCTATCTAATTGATCTATGTGGACTATGAGTTCTTATTCTATTTAATGGCATATAATCCATCACTATCATTACTCATTTGGATGCTTCAGTTGTCCCAGATTTGATTCTTTGTGCACTTTTTATGTCATAAGAATATGTTCCAGGCTCATCTTTCATTTTCCTTGCTCCAACCCTGGAATCAGCCATTTCTCATAGGATTTCTTGTTCCTTTTAATGGAGAATGATATTTGGAAACTAGTATCTTAATACTGGGCATGTTCATTGCTACTCGTTTGTCATTGCTTCTAAGTTCTCTCAGCAGACAGAGCTGTGAAAGAGATACATGATTATATTTATTCACACAAACTTATATCTATTTCTATATTAACCTTTATATATTTAAAACCATGTATTCATATCTCTAGTTTTAATATTTTTAAATGAGCAGAGTTCTCTATTTCTGCTAAAATTCATCACATGCCCAACTTTGCAATAGGAGTTCTACTTTTACACCATTACCTTAATAATTCTATCGAACAAAAAATAAGGCTAAACTAGAGTTTATTTCTACCAAAGGGTATGCTAACAATAAAAATTACAGTCCCGTTTTTTAAGCCACAGATAAAGAAACATGAAAGGTATTTTTTCAAAGTCAAAGGAGGACTTTGGACATCTCCTGTACGTTGAGCATCAGTGTAACAATTTATTAAGTATTTAGAGTCTCTCAATACACATGTATGCACAAATAATAGTTACTAATTCTTAGGTATGACCAGCCCTTGATGAGTGGATACCTTATTATAGCATCAAAGACCTATCATACCTACACTTTTGAGTACAGTCAAACCTTGCATAGTGGACTAATTCAGGCAAGGGGTGTCTGTTAAAGCTGAAAGTCCATTATATAGTAAAGTAAATGTTCTGAATGGATCTTTTTAAAAATTGACAAATTAGTTAGTTTACCTGTTTGTACTTCCATAGATATGATAGTTAGTGTAATTAAAATTAAGTATGCATGAAAAGTTTAATTTCACAGAAAAGTTTTCTATATGCATTACTGTAATTTTAAATTTATACTGAACAGGTGTTCATGCATTCACCAGTCACCACAAGTAAACAAATGCACATGGCCGGAGTGCGGCTTAGTACACATGGTAACATCACCTGCAGGCATTAAAACTGCTGCAGAAAGTCATACCACGTGACAACAGAACCAGTTACCATGAGTGATTCAGTGTGATCAAATGCTAATTATTCTCCAAACATTGTTTATGAGCAGTGACTCTTGGATTTAAGTATGTAGACTATAGTTGCAGATATGTAATATCTATTTGTTTTGGTGAAATTACTATAGTGTTTTTTTCAACATATGGCCTACTCACTAAAATCTGTTAAAAATTAACAACAGAAAATAACCTGTTAATTTAATTATAAACAAACTTGCTATAAAATTATCAGGGTGTTAATTTTCACAAATGACATATAGACTGGAAATTTTTGTCTACTAAATCTAAAGTTCGTTAAATCAAGGTCCACAAAATGGAGGGTTTACTGTAATTTTACTGCATGTGAATTGCTCCTCAAGCCACCAAAATCTTACAGAATGAATTAGTGGCTTCAAACAACTTTATTTCCATAATACACACCACTGAGATTGCTCCCACTGGCCTCTCTAACTTTGTCTTCTAATTTTTTTTACATTTCTCTAAGATTTATGAATCTTATAAAAATGTTTAACTTACTTTGTACAAGCTATCCCCCTTCTGTATCTGCAGAATAGCAAGAATTCAGATGGCAACTGAAAGAAAAGTCAGAATCCACTTCCAAAGTTCCAGATGCTTGACATCACATTGTAAGAACCAGAAGCTGCTTCGGCATTTATTATTAATGTTAGTTGCATAACTGGCCCAGCGCTACTGAGTTGCAAAACATGGATGTCATGTTCTCATCTAATATTGCCTACAGAATGTGTTCAGTATGGCATTTGTGGCACTCTGCAATTTGTGCCCAAACTATTTTTGCAATTAATCATTGGCTTAGATTTTCATGATCTTCTGTTTATGTTGCTCCCTTAGGAAGTCTCTCATGTTCAGGTGCCTGGGAAACTGGCACATTCACATTCACAAAGCATAATGCAAGGTTATGGACTTCCCCAAATCTTGCAGTCCCACTGCCTCTTAAAAAACAGTACCATTCAAACTAAAAAAAAAAATCAAATAAAATATTTGTATAGGCTACACTTTACAAACCCTTATCTGTTCTAACCTTTTAGAATCTGGTTCAATTTCCAAGTCCTCTGAGAAACTTTGCCTGAGCAATCAGCTCACACTGGTTTCTCCAAGCTCTCAACTATTACAGCATTTGTAGGCTGTACCTGTCACTTGATACTAAGGTCATTAGCAAATATTTATTGAATATTATCTCATTATAAAATATTTCTTATAGAAAATTTAGCACTTCACTGATATAATGATCACATTATGTAGCAAGAACAACAGGGCAGCCCTGGCTGGGTGGCTTAGTTGGGTGGATGTCGTCCTCTATATCAGAAGGTTGTGGGTTTCGTTCCCAGTCAGGGCACATACCTAGGTTGTGGGTTCAATCCCTGGTCGGGGCACATGCAGGAGACAACCAATCGATGTTTCTCTCACACGGTAATGTTTCTCTCTCCTTCTCTCTCTCTCTAAAAAAAAAAAAGAAAATCAAGATCTAATGGGGAAGAACTATACTGTGTAATTCACACTTTGGGATGAATGTTCAAAGTAATGCTTGGGAACTATGCCACATAATTCCCATCAGTGAACCGTGTAGGTTAATGCTGGACACCTGCTCCCCAACTCTACCATTGCTGCCGAGCTGAGGCCTGGCACTCCAGAGGCTTTTCTTGTCCCATTGGAAACTTGATCCTGCTCTATTTTATTTTTATTAAAACAAATTTTATGGCATAATGTATATACAGCAAAGCTCACAAATATTCAGTGTATAGGTTGGTGAATGTTTACATATGGCTGTAACCAACATGTTCAGAACTGAATTCATCATTCTTCTCTCAATCCTAATTCTCCGCCTGTGTTCTCTTTGTCAGTTTGAGATTTAAATATCTCTTTTAAATATCTCTCGAATGTATCTGCTCACTGTAGAATGAGATGATCTGGAAAAAGCTTTTTGCAGGCGGTCAGACACGAGAGGGGATAGTTCATCCAAGCCCATCGCCTCCACTGTGAACCTACATTTTATCCTTAAGCTTTGCCCATACCCACACATGCACATACTTGAAATATCTTCACCTGGATGACCTCCAAGTTACTAAACATACTCAGAACTAAACTTGTTATTCTCCTCCCAAGCCCAAGTCTCCTTCTACATTTTGTCAGTTTGTTCTCTCTGAGATATTTATTAAATGTTTCCTTTCCATTCCCCCCATATCACCAATTAGAATTCCATGTCAGTGATTGAGATAGAGTATGAAGAGAGACTGAACCAAGGGTTGGCAATGGAAAAAAAAAAAAAACTAGAATACATATAGGAGAGATGTTACAGAAGAAAAAATGCTGGACTTAGTGTGTGAATGAGTGGGGGGTTGGCGATGAGGGAGACGAAAGAATCTAAATCGATGCTTGAATTTCTGATTTTAGAAACTGGCTTAATTGTGGTAATATAGGTGACAGAGAATTCAGCAGAAGCATCAGGTCTAAGGGAAATGTCCAATATGTGGATTTTGAATCATAACAGGTGCTTGATAGTATTCATATTACTTTCTGAAAAGATTGTATACTGTTTATTATGTATATTTAACAACACAGTCTACCATTGGGTATTTATAAGAAGATATTGC